GCAAAGCGATACCCCAATCGTCGACATCCGGGTCGTGAAGTATTCGCCCGGACCCATAGAGAAATACATGAAGGTAAGTGATTTTTACACCTTTCTTGTTTGCTTGCTTGTTAACTATAATTTTTCACTTTTTTAAGGTCGCATACCTGGAAGGCGTGGCGGCGAAACAGGACGTCCTGCAACGGTAGATGTTGAAGCTGTGTTAGAGGAAGTGGAACTAGGTCCATCGACTTCAGTGAGAATGATGGAAAGACGGACGGGAATACCAAAAACTACAGTTCACAAAGCTTTAAAAGACCATCGATTTCATCCCTACCACATTCAACGTGTTCAGGCTCTACAGGAAAGAGATTACCTGTCGAGGCTTAGATTTTGCTGTGAAATGTTGCGAATGCATGCATCAGACCCCAACTTTTTTAATAAAATAATTTGGAGCGATGAATCATCATGCAAACGTGATGGTTATTTTAATTTACATAACCTTCACAGTTGGCAGATAGACAATCCTCACGAAATGAGATAAGATCGTTCGCAGTACCAGTACAAAATAAATTTATGGTGCGGTATTTTTAATTGTCAGATATTGGGACCTGTGGAACTGCCGCCAACGCTCAACTCTCACAGTTATTTAGAGTTCCTTCAGGAACGGCTTCCAACTCTTTTGGAAGATGTACCCTTAAACCTGCGGCGAAGACTATGGCAGCAAAATGACGGGTGCCCTGCTCACTACGGGCGTGAAGTAAGAGCTCATTTAGACGAAACTTATCCTCGCCGATGGATTGGACGATACAGACCAATCACATGGCCTGCTCGATCGCCAGACCTGAATCCATTCGATTTTTTCTACTGGGGCGGGAACAAATAAATGGAGCTGCTGCTGAGATAGCCCAATTGAGTTTAAGATCTCTAAAAGCGTCTTTTCTTAAAAGGTGCCGAGCTTGTATTAGAGTAGAAGATCGCCAATTTGAGGATATTTTATCAATAAATGAATAAATTTTTCCTCAAACAACTCATGTATATCTTATTTCACGTGAACCCATCCTTCACACAAAATATTGATAGATATAGCCCTTGTTATAGACTCTAGTCCGAATTCCGGTAAGTAACATAAAATAATGTCAGAAGCAAGTAATTATATACCTTTGTACTATTTAGCATGTCGTTTGACGGTAACAAGAGCAAATTTAATTTAAATCTATTAAATACATTCTAGCGTGTCTCAGTCCTTTACCCACAAAAGCGGCTATAACTTTTTTTTCTATTCAAAACAGTAAGTGTGGCACCTTTCTGAAATCTTTATTAAATGAGCAATTTTTTTATGTAATGTAAAGTTATAGCTCAGTACATTTTTTTTTCACCCGAGATAGTCAAAGTTGGGGAAGAAAATATCAAAAAGTGACAAATCCAGAAATAGTCCTAATTTTATGATGGTTCCTTAATATATTTTAACTACATTGCATTTGAGTATGGAGAGGCAACTATCTGGAAGTGTTTTACATAAAAAATTTACTAAGTATTGCCCGGTTTTTAGTTGCAGTTAAAGAAAACACATGAAAAGGCACAATTTTTTTTAAATTCGAAAAAATGTAAATATTTCAAAAACGGTGGCACTTTTACCTGAAAACTTTTTGTTTATCAGGGAGCTCACCCCCCCACCTAACTTCCCCTAAAGTTTGGCACATTACTTCTGGGACACCCTGTATATAAGCGAGTCATTTCAGCATGCTACTGTTGCTGCTTTCGTCACTCGCGCGCACTGCCGTGCGCTGTGATATCAATTAATATCATATTGTAGATGGTATTTGGCACCAAATGTTTCTACAAATAAAGTAGCAATTTATTAATGCAATAACATTTTGGATAATATTAATATAATCTATATTCTAATAGTGCATAAATAGTGAAAAATCCACATTTAGAATAGTTACTGGAGCGAAGAGTTTGAAAGCATACAAAATAATTCCAGTATGTACAGTGCAAGGCGAGTCTATACAAGGTGGTTTATGGGATCCGATGATTTCACGACGACTTTGTACCTTTTGTTTAAATGATGTGTTTGCTGCAATTTTGTTTTGTACTGCACACAAATGTCGATGCATCGAAAAAAAAATACATCGATATATCGATGTATATCGGAAGGTCCAAAACATCGTTTTTATTCGATATATCGATTAGCAAACATCGATGTTTCCGATGCATCGACGTTTTTTTGCATCCCTAAGAAATGAGCATCAGGGGTTCCACCGAAACAATTGAAGTTTTGAAAGGGGTCTACGAGAAAAATAAGTTTGGGAACCTCTGCACTAGAACAAGCAAGCAAGAGGAACATTTCCACCGTTCAATTTTAACATTTCGAAGTATCTAAAATTATTATAATTAAAAAAATCGTAAAATTTCAAAAATTACAAAATAGCTGCGACAGATATTCTGCTTGCAGCCATTTGTTTTCGCGGTAAACTCTTGAAACTTTGCATATGTGTTGTACTTGATGCCGAAGTCCATTACCTCTAATATGAACATTGTACTATTTGAAGACCTCCCAAATTTATTAAAACAAACAAAAATCAGTTATAATTTTTTCGAATGACAATGAAAAAATTAGTAATTTCGGTACTTTTACGACTAAATAAATGTTTAAAGATTAAAATTTTCAAATACAGTGATAATTATTTCAAATGACAATGAAAAAATTAGTATCTCGGTACTTTTACGACTAAATAAATGTTTAAAGGTTAAAATTTTCAAATACTTGATTTATTTTTCATTGTATTTGTTTCTATAACTGCTTTTATTGAAATAAATGCAAGAAGAATGCTTTAGAGTTTTTTTCTGCCGAGAGAAAGGACTAGCACTATAAAAAAAACAACTCGTGAGATTTGCTTGTTTACGTAGATATAAAAATGTTGCATTCCTAAAGTTAAAACTAAACTCTTATTTTCGGTTCCTGTTATTTTTCCATAATTCGTAATTTATTGAACACATATACCTTGTTTATATGGCATCAAACTCGATATCGAATTAACTCGTATCAGTGTAGCTCGCTTGAAATGCAAGTGTTTATATGCAACAAAAGAAATGAGTCGATCGAACACGCTTTCAAACAGAGTTCATCCCGATGCAACTTTGTTAATACATGTGTCATTTCTTGAAAATAATAAATATGGAAAAATAATAATTGGAGACCCAAACAGCCATGAGGATATTAGCTATTAATTTTATATGAAAGCTTAGTCTAAATGTAATTTCAAGAACTATTTAAATGTTTTACTTCATACAGAGTTGCATGAAACAACCGTGGGGTCAAATCCCGTGTTTATATGCACTCTTAACACGATTCAACAACTCTTAACTCGCATTCAAAATGTGATTTATGGTGGCTAGGGTTCGAAATTTTAGACTTTGGTATCGATACTGAGTACTCATTCTGGCATCGAGCTCATGGTATCGATACTCTAAAAGTATCAGGGAAAAAGTATCGATACTACTCAGTATCGGACTCATTCAAATACGTTTCTTGGGATACTAAAATTATTTTGTTCTTCAATCGTATATCTAGTTATTTCCTGAAATTAAAACAATAGACATTTAAAATATTTGATTTTTATTTCATTGCAGAACTTACTTCCACGTTAGAAGTAATTTAAACGTTAAATGTACATACATACATACATACACACATATTTACTTTCACGAATTTTAAATTTGATTAAGAATTTTTGGAAACTTTGTGGGTATGCATTTTTGTAGCCTATTTAATTTTGTTTAATATTGTGCAAATTTTAATTAAAAGTCAACGGTAGTAGGCTACACGGAAAGTTGAATAGGTTACAAAACTGGATACCCTAAAAGTTTCTAAAAATTCTGTATTTTCGTGAACTTTAAAGTATACTTTAAAGTAAAGTTTTATGGCCTTATTCATAAAAAATAAAAAAGGTTTATAAACTGAAGAATGTATGAAAGTGTCATTTTATTTAAGCTCTTGAAGCCTACTTTATTTTTTATGAATAAGGCCATTAAACTTTAACTTATTTGGTTTATGTTATGTAACAGACTACACGAGATTTCAGTTTATTTTAAGTGATGGACAAAATTGAATGATAGTAATCCATATAAGCAAAGAAAATTGGGTTGCCAATGGAAGACAAAATTTAAAAAGTGTGTTTTTTAAAAAGTATTCGATACTACGAGTACTTTGGAAAGTATCGAGTAAAATCGCCAAATAAGGTATCGAGTATTAAAGTACTCATTTTTATACCCTCAGTATCGATACCTACTCAATATCGATAGTATCGTACGAACCCTAATGGTGGCACGGTTAAAAGTTTCAATTCGATTTAAAAATGCGTTTACATGTGTGTGTCCAAATAACATGGTTTGACTTGGAACGAATTGAAGCATCATATAAACATGGTAATAGTATTGCAAACAATATAAGCAAACGTATGGAAAAAGGTGTTTTGAGGGTTAACTGGTGTATAAAACGTTAAGAGCTTTTATTTTTATTTTAATTATTAATGTCCAAGGTCAAACGTTAATTTAATTACGAATAGGTAGGGATAACTTCAAGTGATAACCTAGAAAAATTTCACAACAAATTCTGCCAAAAGTTCTTGAGAGGGAATGTACATATATTTACCTATCAGGTATTTATACTTATGCACGCACCCAAATAGCAAGCATACAACTGATGTATGCACAAGGCAAGTGTGAGTGTGGACATTTAACACAATTGCCTATGCGTTTTTATATCTAACTGTAATGGGTGTTAACGTATGTTGTGAGTAATGCGAGTAGTTGGGATTCCGTGGGGGGCCAGGAACAATAGTTACTACGTACATACCACCACCTTTTAAACCCGAAATTAGTATCAGCGCTTCATCAACACCATCAGCGCTGATTCCCCCACCTAAGTATTGTACGAATGTACATATTTGGGCCTTGTGTAGATATTCATATACGACATATACATAACTAAATACGTGTGTATGTACATATGTACATATATATGCAAACATCACTAGACACTCACCGCAAACGTTTCGCTTCGTCGATGAATGGTCGCTTTTGCCCCTCGGTGAGTAATTTCCATTCGGCGCCCAAACGTTTCGAAATTTCTGAATTGTGCATTTTTGGATTATCCTGTGCCATTTTGCGTCGCTGTCCGCGTGACCAAACCATGAATGCGTTCATTGGCCGCTTAATGTGGTCGTTCTGTTGCTGGTGGTGATTGTGATGTTGTTGATGATGACGTTGTATAGTGGAGTGTTGTTGCTGCGTGTTATAAGCTATTGTGTTGACAGATGATAATGTGGAGTTGACTGGTATACTTGATTGTTGTTGGTGCTGGAGATGATGATGCTTGAGTGGCGATGTTACTGCCGCGGTTGTTGCCGCCATCGTCATGTTGAGCGCGTCCGATCCAGTTAATTGCGGTGGCGACTCACCACCACTACTAACTTCACTGCTACTGCGACTACTGTGAACACCGCCATTGTGCAAATGCGACCGGTAGTGCGATGACTGCTGATGATGTTGCTGCTGCTGTTGTTGTTGCTGGAGAATTGTGGAGATGGTCGTCATTTTTGCAAATTTTTGCGTATTCTATGCTGAGCCTTACTTTTAGCAAAATTCGGTGGATTGGTCAAGTTTATGAGGAATTTATATTTCTTTCCCACAACTTATTCTTATTTGCATTCAAAATTATTTTCTCGCGCACCTATAAATTATATAAAACAAATTTTAGGTTTTTGCAAGGAAGATCGAATAAAACAAACAATTAATTAATTACATATATCACAACACACTGCAGTGTAATAGAGTGATGAAAGCAGACTTAGTCCCCCTTTTATAGTGACGAGTCAACTCACAACCGGCAATTAACTATACTCTTAGTACACAAAATTATAGTTAACTGCGGAATGTGAGTTAACTCCTCGCCGTGAAAACTGACCTTAGTGTGCTGAAAGTTGCCTAGCTTATACATACAAATATGAACTACATGTATGTACATTTATACCCAAGATTTGGAAGTTTTTATCCAGACGTCCAATCGACATGTTTGAGTTATTAGGAGCGTTCCTTATCTCCCAGAAATAGTCAGAAAAAGTCCGAAGTAGTCAGATTTAGTCCAAAAAGCGTTCCTTAACTCGGAAATGACAGCAAAAATGAGAGAGCAACAGTCAGTGAGAGTGACTCTCATCAGTCCGAAGTATTCAGATTTAGTCAGAAGAATTTTTTCTGGCAAAATCCTGAAAAGTGTCAAACTCAACTGTTTTAAATTAACGGAAATTAAAGAATACGCTAAAAGTGAGAATAATATAAAAAGTAAAAGAAATGAATTGAAATTGGAAGAAGGCAAAAAATAATTGATATAGCAAGTGTTTATTGTGCTTGTGCTTGTGTGAATGTGTTTTGTACATACATTTCTGTTCTTATTTGACGTTAGTTTTGTTGTTGCCATTCTTTGGACTAAAAATTTGGTTTTTTGCGTTCCTTTACTTTTCCTGTTATTCTCTTTTAGTGAGCGCATTTTGCTTACGCTCTGGCATTTTGACACTTTTCAGATTTTAGTCCAAAAAGATAAGGAATGAACCTATTATTGGAAGGGACAGAGTGTGCCCAGAAAATGCTGCGAAAAAATACGGGTTTCTTTGCTTTTGTCGATTTAAAGGGGCATGTGGTAAATAAGGACAAGACGAAGTATCTTCTGTCATCAAACAAACAGTCAGCGCGAGAAAGTAGAGAATTTCGTTTACTACATTTTTTGCGATATTGCTTTGACCAGGGCTTGAACCCAGGCCCTGCGGAGTGAAAGCGCGCAGTGATTTTCCATGTTGATAAATAATCATGTTGATCATAAAAACTCTGTATAATTATAAGTACTATAAAATTTGTTAATTCTTTGTTATATTTTCCTGTTTTCGTATATTTAATGTTCTCATCTTTTTTATTTCTTATTGTGCAATAAAAGATTTACTCTCAATGTACTAATGCATAAACGATATCAAATTAATTGAAATTGAAATAAAAAAAAAAATTGCCAAAATCAGTTTTTGCTGTTCAATAAATGACTATAAGTGACCTTGGGGTTAAGGTGCAGAGATGGTATTTTGAGGGATTGTAGTCTAAAGTTCAAGCCTTACTTTAAGCTTAAGTGGAAGTATATCTTCACTGCCACACAGTGTTATTAACAGGGACCGTAATCATTATGAGTTTTATAAAAAAATTTACTTTTAATCATTATTTTGAGATTTTAATAATTGCGAACAATCATAATAATCACATTTTGAGTTTTATTTTATTGCTCAGAAAATACAATCATTTATGAGTTATATTTTTTTGATAAAAAATAACATGATAAAAATATAGTAAGGTAGAACCGCTGAGAGTCACTTTTAAGATTCTTGACGTTTCCAAACAATTTAATTTTTAAATTTACTCACAAACTCACACACACATTTTCATTTTCAATCTCAAGCAACAACAATTTCGAACAATTTCAATGTTTTATTTTCACTTTTATATGATTTTAAAATGTTGGCAAACTTCAAAAAAAAATCATGGCCGACAAATTGAGAGAACGGTTATACCTTGCTATGTTTTTATCATGAAAAATAAAACTAATTTTTCGAGCGTTATTATTTTTGCTCTGAAGTAATAATTATTTTGTGAGTTCTTTTTTTTTTATCAAAAATAATCATTATATTATGAGTTTTATATTTTTGATCAGAAATAATGATTATTTTTTGAGTTTTATTTATTTCATCAAAAATAATGATTATTCTTTGAGTTTTATTATTTTGATCGAAAATAAATCTCATTGCTACAGTGGTCCGGGAGACGAAAGCTGAGGGAGATTCCCAGGTGATGGGAATATACACCTCCTCCAACCCTTCCCTCGAGCTTTGAGCCATCTGTGTATACATGGATGGACTCTCCACTACTAACAACGTCATGCTTCCACTCTTCCCTTGCGGGTAGGAGGGTCGCGAATGCTGTAGCGGGTGCAGGTTCCGGAAGTGCATAGTCCACCAATCCGGGTAGCCCCGGAAACTCCGTTAATATTCTACCGTGACCATAACTGGTATTTGACCACTTATTTATAATGTTCATTCGAATTGCCGCGCCACTTGCGAATTGTTTGGCATGTA